TAAATCCAAGCTTTGGGGCACCAGATCTAATTGGTAGCACTGGTCACCGTATCCACTGTTAGCGTAACACACCCGCTTTAAGGACACTGACTGCTATTCAATCTATAACAGTAAAAAAAGTTTTTTGTTTTTAAATCAAGCTATTGTGACACCAGATGTAATTGGTGGCACTGACTGGGGAAATGGGCACAGTATGCACTGTGAGCCTGACACAGAAGCTGGCAGCATTGGCAGACAACTGACTGCTATTCAATCTATAACAGTGAAAAAAGTTTTTTGTTTTTAAATCCAAGCTATTGTGACACCAGATGTAATTGGTGGCACTGACTGGGGAAATGGGCACAGTATGCACTGTGAGCCTGACACAGAAGCTGGCAGCAGTGGCAGACAACTGACTGCTATTCAATCTATAACAGTGAAAAAGTTTTTTGTTTTTAAATCCAAGCTATTGTGACACCAGATGTAATTGGTGGCACTGACTGGGGAAATGGGCACTGTGAGCCTGACACAGAAGCTGGCAGCAGTGGCAGACAACTAAGTGCATTTACATTACATAGAAAAAATAAATAAAAAAAAAGCATACCCTAACCCATACCCTTATCCCTAACCTAGCTATGCTTTTCCCTATCTTATGAACAGCAGCTACACTTTCCCTCCTCTTGCTAAGCATGCAGCTTGAGAATGAATCTAAAATGGATGCTGTCCAGTAGGTGGGAGGGTCTGCTAGGGAGGCTGTGCTGCTAATTGGCTGGAATGTGTCTGCTGACTGTGAGGTACAGGGTCAAAGTTTACTCAATGATGACGAATAGGGGGTGGGTCGAACCGCGCATATGTTCGCCCGCCGTGGCGAACGCGAACATGCTATGTTCGCCGGGAACCGTTCGCCGGCGAACCGTTCGGTACATCACTATTAGGGAGTTTAAGCATGCATGGCATAGGCATATGGCTATCCTAGATATAAGATAAGGCCAGGGACTAATGAAAGTATTTAGAAAATTGGGCAGACTAGATGGGCAAAACGGTTTTTATCTGCCATCACATTCTATATTTCTATCTGTGATTAAAAAAAAAAAAAAAAGAAGAATCGGTCTTTAAAATATCCACTATATTTTTGTTAATATAATTGTGCACAGATTTTAGGAATATAACTTAAAGCAAAATATGGGAAAAGCTCAAAATGTTCTTAGGCTCCAATAATCATAATTCAGAACTGCGTGAGCACTCAAATTGTTAAAATGTTAGACTGGTAATGCTGCATTTGCCCACATATATCAAATGATGGAAACTTTGCATATGATAAGAATATATATAATAGAAGGCAGTGCCAATGATGATGGCTGCCTTTGGCATAACAGATGTTTCTAAAATACTTTTCCCATGATGGAAATTAAATCAGAAGAGTTCACTAGATTTTTAGAAGTCATTCAGTCTTGTTTTTATTATAACTTTTATGTCAAATAAAGAAAGAAGAAAGTGGTATAATTAAATGTTACAGTATTATTCATCTTTTATTTATTTTTTTCCCAAAAAGTAATTTCTTAGCACATAAAAAACTCTACCAACTAAATTCTAAATTGCATTCCTGAGGTAAATTCCTCCAAAAGCCATGAGAGAAAGTATGAAAATAATAAGCTCTACTTCACTGAGCTGACATGATTAAGAACTAAAGCAATCTTACAGGAAGAAAAAAAAAGCTATAGCCTGCATCTGTTCAAGGTTAAAATCCCTGTAGGTATGATAGCTGTTTATTTTATGAATATATAAAATCACGTACACCCCTGACTCTTGAGATCTGTGTGTGTGTGTGTGTGTGTGCTTTTCCCTCCTTCATGTAACATTCATTTAATTCTCTGTGCTCCCCTGTCTGTCCCTCCTCTGTTAGCCTTCCTCTAGAGCTGGGGAGTGACGTCAGCAACTTGGCCGGTGCCCCCTTGCAGCCAAGAGGAGGAGAAGGGAGAGAGAGAGAGAGAGAGAGAGAGAGAGAGAGAGCGCGCAGAAGAAGGCACAGAGAGAAGAAAAAAGAAGGGGAGGGAGTGAGTTATGCAAAGACGGAGGTCACTAGATAACAGTTCTCTTCTGTCCTGGAGCAAGGAGCTGCAAGCCACATCTGATTCAAGGAAAACAAGTGTCAGACAGAGAAAGAGGAGGGGAGTCACCTCTTATCATCAACCATCATCAACATCTCCTGCAGAAGGAACTGAACAAGAAAGACCCACCACCTGCTCCTTCCACTTCACTGACCAACCCCTCTGTCTCCCATCTCTGCTGCTAAGCCCAGGGTATCCCCTCACTTTCCTAGAATCTCCAGACAATACTTGGAGTATTAAAGTATCTTTATTGAGAGGAAACACTCTGTAGCCTTGTTCACCTTCACTTTACTCTCTGCAAACCCCCGTTCCAGCCTCCTCCTGTGCTGTCTGGCGGCTGCTGATCCGGGGAGGGGACCATGGCTTCTTCTGCCAGCGGTATGGAGGAGGTGCGCTCCTCGGTTCTCACCCCACTCAAGCTGGTGGGACTGGTGTGCATCTTCCTGGCCCTGTGTCTGGACATCGGAGCCGTTCTGAGCCCAGCCTGGGTGACGGCGGACAACCAGTATTACCTTTCCTTATGGGAGTCCTGTAGGAAACCTGCTAACCACTGGCTGTGCGAGTCCACCCTGCAGAGCGGTGAGCGATCCACTACCCATCTCCCTGCCCTCACTGCTCTCCCCCTGTGATTCACTGCTCAGCTCCCTGCCCTAACTGCTTACCCCCAGTGATCCACTGCCCAGCTCCCTGCCCTCACTGCTCCATCCAGAACCCAGGCAGCCCTTGCTTTAGGGAACTAGCAAACTACAATCTGTCTGCTTGCTGTCTCCTGGCACCCATCACCCTGCTGCCTCTCATCTACACTTAAACAGTGCCATTATTAGCTGCATTACCTAAACATTACAGCATGCTATCTATCAGCTATGGGGTGCAGCAGGGTTTGGCATTCTAGTGTGTGTATCTGTGTGTGTTGAAAGCTGTTTAGTTTAGGCATTTCATTCCTTTGTTGCTGATGTTTTGTGTTCCTGCATCCTATTCATCTCTAATCAAAAGAACACCAAACTGCACCAAGTTTAACCCACTAAGTGCAAACTAGATGTGTTGATCTTGATAGCCATTGTGTTAAATCATCTGAAAACTAAAATACACATTAGGATTTATTTATCTTTTTATGAGCTTTTTCAAGTTGTTCTTGTGACTGGGATTCCTTCTTACTGCTAATGGTGGTGGAATGTTTTGACTTTTTGCTTCTGTAGTTAAATGTTATACAAGTATTTTAGAATGTCGTGTTTTAATTTCCGTACATGGCATTGTATTTATGGGACATGTCCTTGCTTTCTAACAGCCAGCAATTTATTTTTATCTGTTGTAAATAAAAACCTAAAATCTAGGTTTAACACATGTCATACGCAAATAGGTAACACTGTATGATGAAATGTGGGATGAGTGTTAGGATACATTAGATCCCCATCTACCTTATAGTATATCTGTACACTTATTTCCTACGACCTTTTTTTTTATTTCACGATAAAGCAGACAATAATTCTGTCTTTGAGGTGGTAGACTGAGATTGTAACAATGCTACTGAAGCTGTTGTGTAAGGTTTGTGTTGATGCCCTTACTAATTCCTAGTTTCTTTGTTGTAGTAATAAATAATTAAATTGCTGTATACTGTAGCACATAGTTAGCTGGCGGTTAGTGGTATTCAGGTGCCTTTCTGTAAGTCACGCTTTCATTTTGATATAGCCAGACAGACAGACATATTTACACAAAGCTTTCTTTGGAAAAAAATCTTTATATTTGCCTTCTGTAATAATTGCAACAGATGTCTGATGAATAACGTATTTACTAACATGATCTATGTCTGAAATACACAACACCCTTGCCACTTATTTATGGTTTTATATGTTATTTTTTTATCAAGCACCAACATATTCCGAAGCGCTGCTCAATATATGCTTGTATTTTATTGTGATGCTTATACCCGACATTTGGTGCCAGGGGAATAAACACAATGCATGTCTAAAAACTCTAGAAGGGCTATCCCTATTGTACATTACGAGTTACATTCATACAGTGAAGCTCGTGATTATAATTATTTTGCAAATAGTATTATAAGTACATTATGTTCATTTCTGCTCTAGACACAAGCATAATAACATGTAATTATAATATGCTCGGTTACTTTTTAACAGAAAACCGCAAATATATTTACAGCATTCTCTTGAGTAATTCAGTTGTTTTGATTGGAAAAAAATAGTTTTTATGTTTTGATTGTAGGTCTTTAGTCATTTGGTAGTCTTAGTAAATTGTATATTTTTCAGAAGGCTCTGCATATTTAAGATGTGCCTATTGCCTGTCTTTTGTGTTGGGATGCAGCACAAACCAGGGTTTTTTCTGTAGTTGCTTATTTGTTTGGTGTTTTTATGTCCTGAAACTTGGTTAATACTCAGACAATAGTAGCATAAAGAGGTCAATGGCACTTGGGGTAAAACATATTTTGCCATAAAGCGTCTTTCTATAAAGGTCTGTTGATGGCATCACTGTTTCCCTTTGATATTGTACATGTTATTAGCATCACTAATCTCTTAGAGAATGCATGTGTTCTAAATTCTTCAAGACCACTGACATGTCAGAACTGTGATGAAATGTACTTAACCATGCTCTTAAATGAAGGGATTAAACATCAGTATGGTCATTAGTGATTCATATAAACTTGTAAATATGTCTCAGTGAAGTCAATTACAGATGAAACATTGCAAAGCTAGTATTAGCTGAAGGAAATATTTATATCTTATGTGTTATTATGGAGCCAGAGTACTAAATTGATGAAGTTTCTTTAAAACTGTATTTAAGTATCTGTCATGCATAGCATGGCTGAGCCTGCCAAGAATGTTATTTATATCTTATGCTAGCCAAATGACTTAAGTAGCAGATTCATATTCGAGCACTGGTAGTAAGCTAATCACAGATTAGATGCTTGCATGTTTGTGCCTTACCCAACATGCAGTGCTATCTGTCCTTAGAGCAAAGCATTCTGGGATATGTTGCAATGAATGCTCAATGAGGTACCCACAAGGACGTATCTTCTGTCTGAGTAGCTTGAGGACAGAAGCAGAACCAAAACATAAGATAAAAATGATTTTAAAAAAATCAGAAAAATTACACATTTAGCAAATTCAGTTATAAAGAAGCATACATTTTGAACATCGGATCTACAGTTAGAATGGAATATTTGGAGAAAATGTGTAAGCATAGTTGCTGTTTAGGAAAACATAAGAAATGTAACTAACTTTGGGAATTTTAATTGTTTATTGGTCCATCATTTCTAAAAATGTTGGAGGAGTAATATATATACTACCGACGATAACACAATTGTCTTTGCAAATGTCTTCACAATACTTCAGAGATTTTCAAAAGTTGCAAAAAAGAAAAAAAAAAGTATATTTCATAACACAAAATAGTTGTGATGAAAAAAAAGTGCATAAGCTGGCCAAATCCTCGTTATGTAATATCTGTACGGTATCTATTGGCAGTTTTGGAAATGCAAACTTCCAAAATATAAGCAGTAATGCAAACATTATAAATGTATAATACCTTCACACACTAAGTACACTTGTGGTAAAACCAGGAATCTATTTTGAAATACAACTTGAACTTATGATCTAAAGTAAGGTAGAGCTCTCCCTAAAACTCACCATACAAAGTACTACATTGATTCATGCAGGACCTTGTAATGTCTGGTAGGAGAAGTCCTTCTGTGCAAGGAAAAAATTGAAATGTCTAGCAGGGTAAGTATCAGCACTGTAGTGGATGTGAAGATAAGGCTTCAACTTTAGCATATAGTACTGAAAGGACTGCCCAGGCACTCTGACCGTAACGTTACCAAACATACTGGCTATGGTGCATGGAATGTGCCTTTAAAATAAAAAAATGAAACTAGCTCAACTTTACAACTGAGCGAGATTGACATGCCAAAAAATATGACATGGAGATTTTATGTAGACATATGTCATCACTGACATTCTATTGGAAAAAGAGAAAAAATGAACCGCACTCCAATCAATGAAGATTCATTTGCTAAACTGGACCAAGGGCCAGCACTAGCCCCAGGGAGTAAATATCAGTGGTAGAAAGAGGATTCAAGCACTCCAAGTATCTTAATGTATTTATTGGGGCAAGTGAGACACCACAACGTTTCGACCCCTGAAAGGGTCTTTGTCAAACTTAACAAAGACCCTTTCAGGGATCGAAACGTTGCGGTGTCTCACTTCACCCAATAAATACATTTGAAGATGCTTGGGAGTGCCTGGATCCTCTTTTTAATACTGACAATCTATTGGAGTCATAAGCAGTGGTGTACTAAGGGGGGGAGGGTGTGGTCTGCCCCGGGTGCCACTCACTAGGGGTGTCTGGGGCGCACTTTGACAGGGACCAGGCTGCTTACAGTAGTCTCCACACTCGTTTCAGATCCAGCAGCAGGTCCTCTGTTCTCACAATCTGTGAGAGTGTTGCCGTGGGTTGCTATGGTGGATCTCAAGAACAGAGGACCTGCTGCTGCTAGATGTGGATGAAAGGTGGACACTCCTGGGCCCCTATGCTGTTCCACTGGACCACCAGGGACCTATGCTGTGCCACTAGACCACCAGGGAATGTATTGTGTCCTCCCTCCCTGGACACAGGTAAGAGTCAGGGAGTGGGGTGGGGGTTGCAGGTAAGAGTCAGAGGGGGGGGTGGGAGGTAAGAGACAGGGAGGGGGCAGGTAAGAAACAGGGAAGTGGGGCAGGTAAGATACATGGAGGTGGGACAGGTAAGAGACGGGGGCATGTAAGAGATGGAGACAGGGAGGGGGCAGGTAAGAAACAGGGAGGGGGCAGGTAAGAGACAGGGATTGGGGGCAGGTAAGAAATGGATGGGTGCAGATAAGAGACGGGGGCAGATAAGAGACAGGGAAGGGGGGCAGGTAAGAAACAGGGAGGGAGGCAGGTAAGAGTCAGAGGGACAGGTATGAGACAGGGAAGGGGCAGGTAAGAGACAGGGAGGAGGGCAGGTAGAAACAGGAAGGGGGCAGATAAGAGTCAGAGAGGGGACAGGTAGGAACAGGGATGGGGGGCAGGTAAGACACAGGGAGGGCACAAAGGGGCAGGTCAGAGGCAGAGAGACAGGAGGTGGGGCAGGAGTTAGTGACAGGGGCAGGTAGAGACAGGGAGAGGTCTGAGTAGAAACAGGGAGAGGGAGCAAGTAGAGACAGGGAGGAGGGCAGAGTAGAGACAGGAGGGCACAAGAGCAGGTCAGAGACAGGGAGGGGGACAGGTAAGAGACAGGGAGGTGGGGCAGGTTAGTGACAGGGGCAGGTAAGAGACAGGGAGGGGGTCAGGTAAGAAACAGGAAAGGGGGCAAGTAAGAGACAGGGAAGAGGGCAGGTAAGAGACAGGGAGGGAGGGCAGGTAAGAAACAGGAAGGGGGCAGATAAGAGTCAGAGGGGGGACAGGTAAGAGACAGGGATGGGGGGCAGGTAAGACACAGGGAGGGGGCACAAGGGGCAGGTCAGAGACAGGGAGGGGCAGGTCAGAGACAAGGGAGGTAGAGACGGAGTTAGTGACAGGGGCAGGTAGAGACAGGGAGAAGTCTGGTAGAAACAAGGGAGGGCAAGTAAGAACAGGAGGAGGCGATAGAGACAGGGAGGGCAAGAAACAGGAAGGGGGCAGATAAGAGTCAGAGGGAGGACAGGTAAGAGACAGGGATGGGGGGCAGGTAAGACACAGGGAAGGGGCACAAGGGGCAGGTCAGAGACAGGGAGGGGGCAGGTCAGAGACAGGGAGGTGGGGCAGGTTAGTGACAGGGGGCAGGTAAGAGACAGGGAGGGAG